CTTTATTTCTGACTAGATATTTTTTATGCTGCTGAGGTCCTCACCAAGTTCCTTGAGCATACTTGTAACCAGTGTTTAGAACTCGGCATCTGATAGGTAGCTTATCTCCATTTCATTTAGGTCTTTTTGTGGAGTTTTGATCTGTTCGTTCACTTGGGCCTTGTTTCTTTGTCTCCTCATTTTGGCAGCCTCCCTGTTTGTTTTTGTGTATTAGGTAGAGCTGCTTTGACTCCATGTATTGATACTGTAGCCTAATGTAGTAGGTGTGCTGTAGGGTCCCATGGCACAGCCTTCTCTATCACCCCAGCTGAGTACTCGAGGTACACCCTTTGTGTGGGCTGAGTACACCCTCCTCTTATAGTTGAACTTTAGTTGCTGTTGGCAGATCTATGGGAGGGATTTACCCAGGCCAGTCAGCTGCAAGGATTGACTGTGATCACTTACCACCAACTTCCACCCTCTGTGAAAGATCAGCTGTGCAGGGGCAGGGTGGTGGTGCTCCAATGGGGCCTGTAGCTGTCCACTTGGTGCACTGGCCCTGGGGTTTCCCGGGTGGTGCAGGCCCCCCTGTGTTTTGCCTGGGGCAACCCTGCCTGAGCTACAAAGCAATCCGAGGTCACTACTATTTATGCTGGGATTAGAGGTTCCCAGATGAAGCCAAGCTGTGAATCTAGACTGGCTGCTGATAGTGCTGGGCTTGGGGCTCACTGAGGCTGGCTGTTGCTTGTTTGAGAGGACTTAAGAAGTTGTGCAGCATGAGCCAAGACCAGCCATTCATAAGGAAAAGCAGCTTGGATGGACCAGTGTGTTGGGTGGGGTGGATTCTCTGGGGATCGCCAAGGCAGGTCAAACAGTGTTAGCCAGGTTGATGGAGTTTCAGTTATGGCACCAGCTTACTGGCTCAATGGGTCTGTGGGGGGGAGGTTTAGCAAAGGGACAATGGCTTCTGGTTACCTTGATGCCAGACACTTCTGTTTCTCCCTGTATACCTCTGGTGACTTTCAAGCTGCTACCCGAGTGCTGGAACTCAGAGGGAGTGAGTCTGAGTAGGTGAGTTCATGTGTAGGTTCTTAAAGAGAAACTGCTTCGGACTCCAGTGAGTCAATCCCTGCTGGGTTTTGCAGCCAGAAGTTGTGGGGGCTTATATTCCTGGCACTGAAACCCTGGACTGAGGGGCCTAGTGTGGGCCTTGGGGTTGGGACTCCTCACTCCTGAGATATCCCTCCTGAATTTTTGTCCACCATACTTGGGTGAGGGACCAGACCATCCTGCATCTCCACCCCTCCTACCAGTCTGGATGGATGTGGTTTCTTTAATTCCATAGTTGTCAGACTTCCATTCAACTCAATTTCTGATGGTTCTCAGTGATGGTTGTTTTATATTTTAGTTGTAATTTTGATGTGGTTGTGTGAAGAGGTAAGCCATGTCTGCCTACATTGCCATCTTCACCAGAAGTCCTGGTTTATTTTCATGGAGAATGTAACTCAGAAACCAAGGTCTGAGTGGTAGATTTGGGTATATGTATATATGTATGTATACAAGGTCTGTCTAGAAGGCATCCAGCCATGAAATATGAAAAATAGAGACATTTGTTGAAGAAGATAAAAGATGTAAGGAACATTGTACATAGGACAATGATGCCTCAGTCCCCTTCAAAGTGGGTGCCTTGGTACCTCTCACAGTTCTTCCACTCTCTCTTCCACTGTTCAAAACACTCTGCAAAATCCTTTGTTGGAATCACTATCAGCTGCCCCATTGTTATTCCTGAATCTCAACAATGGTCTGAAATCTCTTCCATTTCAAAGGTAATTTTAGTTTTCAGAAAAGCCAGATGTTGCAGAGCACCAAATCTGGGATGAAGGGGGTGCTGAGTCACCTGGGTGATTTGATGTTTCACAAAAAATCTCTGCACAAGACGTGGTGCATGAGCAGATGTGATGTTATGATGCAGCTGCCAATCACCAGTTGCCTATAGCTGTGGCCTTCTGAACCATATGAATAGTTTCTGTGGAGAAATGTTCAAGCTTAGTGAAAATCTTGATGGAGACTTTTTGCTCTGTACTCAGTCATTTTGAATGTGACAGCCACACAGTACACATCATCACTTAGTGGTGTCTACTGCCCCCACTGACTAGTACAGTGAAGTTGCCATTGTTCACACATGCACATTCCAGTCCACTCTCCTTGGCTGCCAGGTTACAGAGGTGTGCACAAACTGTTCTCAATATATTAACAATGGCTGGACTTTTCCTGGACAGACTTCGGTATATATTTTATATTGAAAACCATGAGGTCACACCAATCTTTCTAATTTTAATCTAATATCATGAATTCCACTCCATTTTTCTTCCTTTTTGTATCTGCAACTCTTGCCTCTGACAGCAAGACACCTGGCTCTTCTTACCCTTAGTATGTTTACCTATTTCACCAATCCTCCTGTGTGCAACCAAACTCCTGCTATGGCTGCCGCCTCATGTTCTGTGTGGATGGCCTTCTCACCTACTCAGGACACATCTGAGCCAGGTCTGCCCTCTTCATGGACACCTTTCTCACCCTGTTCAGGCTGGCACCCCATCATGAGCTCCCAAGTGCCCCCACCTCCCATGTCCATGGCACTTGACCTACCCCTCTGACCTACCTAATAGCTTTAGGACTGAAGTGTCCAGGAACAGACAGGAAAGAAAGGGAAAAGGAAGAAGACTTGACACAGTTGCACACAATTAAAATCAAATTATAGCAAATTCTTTTACTCACTTATGTTCTGGTATCTTCTTTCCTCACTAGAATGTAAGGTCCATGAGGTGAGCCTATGTCTGTGTTATTTACCATCACATGCCTACCATTCAGCATGTTTCCTGCCACAAAGTAGGTATAATTAAACTTTGTGAATTAATAAAGGAATGCATAACATGAGAAAAAAGAGCTTTCTAGCTAGCATGTTGAAGAAAGCATGTAACCTAATGTACAAGCCAACTTATCCAAGCCTTGGCCTATGTGCCGTAGCTAACACAGTGTATGGCACCAAGGAGGTATTTAATAAGTTCTTTTTACGTGGATAGACCCAAGGAATTATTTGATATATACATTTCATCTCTTGTGTGTGTCATAGTGGGGGGAAAAAGAAGCCTGGGTTTTTAAATGACAAAATGGGTTTATTAAATTTTAAAATGATAACTAGATAAACTCAATGTTCAATTTGAACAGAAACATTTGATAAAAGTTTGTTAAATTAATGAAGTGCAATAGAGATAATAATGAAGTTGGATAAAGTCAGAATAGTAAATCTGAGGAGGAAAAGAAAGTGAACAATTTAAATGCAGGGTAAGACTGGCTGCAGGCAAACCCAGAAGGAAGAAATCTGTGGGTCCCAGTGAGGATAACACATGAATGACAAAGAGACGATGCCGAAGGGGTCATTCAGATTGCAACCTTAAGAATTGTTCCTCATTTCAAGTTTCAGTGACATAATTAAAGCAAGTTTTTACAATTCACTACTCTCCTTTCTTCTGCTGCACTGAGAGTGTTTTTCAAACTAAAATAACTCAATTACTACCCCCACTCAGGGGGAGTGTGAAAAATGGGTCCTACAAACTTTTGAAATATTTAGGCTAATTTAGATCAGTCTGAAAGATGAATCGATGATCCATTCAACAAGTGTTGGTTGTCTGCTCTGTGGAAGGTGCTGCCTTGGGTGTAAGAGGTGCAGAGCTGACAGGGCAGATGGGATCTCTGGCCTCCTGGGGTTTGCAGCCATTAGTGGCCGGAGTCGAGGGTCAGTGGGGAGGATAAAGGGACAGATCACAGAGCCAAGATGTGTGAAGCAAGATGGGGACTTCGATATTTTAGAGCAACGAATTAGTCCTTCAGAACACGTGGTCACTGTTTTTGCTTGAAATGTTTTAACTCCACAAAATACACTTCCTGGAAGCAAGCATAAATGATGTTTTTTGTGTCCACCCTGTTCTCTGTTCCACCCAGCAGGACAGGTCATTGGGCAGTGGTTACAATCCACTGCATTTGATGCGGCTCTGACCCAGCCTAGTTAATGTTATCTCATTTGGGGTTCCACATGTGAGACAAAGCTATGACCTCTTTAAAAATAGTATATATGAGGAATGGTTAAAATAATAAGATTACTAAACTGGTAAAGGGAGGTTGTTGGTGATTTAAATAATTGCTTTCAGAATTTCAAATGGTAAATGACTGACGTGAGGCCATGAAACCTTTCTCTGGATTTGAGTCCAAAAATATTGGAAACAGGTTCCTGAAACAAAAGAGAGGAGTCATTACCTTTATTAGCAGCAGTAACATTGTGTTGATGCTGCACTAAAACAAACACACCAACATAACAACATGCAGCGTCACAACTGGGAACACAAATAAGCTTAGAAGCCAAGACTCAAATTTCATTTATAGTTTCTAAAGTATTTCTAAGATTGGATGTCAGGAGAAAGGAAAAAGGGTCCCACGAGGCCACATGCAGAGGAAGGGCTGTAGACACAGACTGACTAACATTCTGCTTCCTGCTTTTGATTTGATTTTACTCTGAAAAAAACAGATAACAAGCATTGCTGATGTGCAGACCAGCCCAATGGTAGCACATGTAAGGCTTTGAAATCTGTAATTTCTGCCTCTTTGTGATTACATGGGCTGTGTATTATCTATTCACTGCTGCTGGGAAGAAAAAGGGAACCTGGGATGGGTGTCCCAAGTGCCACAGCCACAACCTTATCCCTGCCAATGAAGGCACTGTCCCTTGCACATAAGCTATAAATGATCAGCTGACATTTGTTTTCTACTATATCCAGACCCTGGGCAAGGTGCTTTCTCGTAAGATAGAGCTGGGTGAGAGGCTGAGATAAACGGATATAATCACAACTTGGGGATTCAATAGGGGCTCCTGGGGAGCACGTGCTCACCCCCCAGGACTTGGTAACATCATTTTCATAGGCTTTCTGAGTGTTTCCCTTATAAAAAAATATAAAATTTTTGCTTCTCTTTCCTTTCCCATTCTTGTAAGTTTAGGTGTGTTTCATGTGTCCTAATAACCATATATTTCATTTTCCACCCATCCAGATTCCTTGCTCCTCCCCATTCGGTTGAGAGAGAACTCGTAAATGTCATTGGTCACGAACCCACTCTCTATGCTTGATAGAGTGACGAATCCGCTTTCCGATGGGTTCACAGCTATGTTGTCATAGTCACAAGACATGTCATCGGGAGTGACTTCTCCCGAACACACTCGGAATGAAATGTTCTTCAGGTCTGGCCGGGTCTCGGCTAAATCAGCTTCGCTTTGTTTTCGTATGATGTTGTAAACCTCTAGATCCGGGCTATTTCCTTGGTGAGGAGACGGCCAAATGGTGTGCTGCTCCTTTGCACTGGGGCCGGGCTGCTCCCGTTTCCTAGGAAAGAAACCAGGGCTGAGCATTTTAGACAGGGGGACTGAGAGTATGCCTGGTGGGCAGGAGGGGCTCATCCTGGGCATCACTGGCTGCACTTCGCAGCTGGCTAAACTTAACATGTCTGGGCTTCAGGGCGTCGCTGGTGGGGGGCGGGGAGGGGTGTGTGATAAAACAGGAAATAAGTTGTTTTGTTCAAAGTGATTGTCTGTTCACTGCTGCTAGAGCATAGAACAGATAGACTTATTCTGGGATCCCCAGAGCCCCCAGAGGATCCGTGAATAGAACTGAATGGGGAAAAAACATCACATTAAAAAAAAAAAAAAAAAAGCTCTTCTCTAAGTGAAATTTAGCATGTCCTTCAATTCTAACTGTAGGCAATAAACCAGAATAGAATGAATGATGCCTTGGACTTGATCAACAACAAAAATCATAGATATTTTCATATCACATCACAGTTACAATAGATAAGTATTTTACTCTCATCTCTACTTCAAAATTATCATTATACCCTCCACTAAATAAAGAAGCATTAATAAAGAAGTAAATGTATTACTGTATCACATTCATTTTTTGGAAATATTCTGCTAAACTATATATTAGTATAATTGTTTCCCTTGCAATCCAAATGCATTTTATCTTATGCATTTAAAAATATTGTTCTGGGAAGGAGTCCATAGGCTTCACCAGACTGCTACAGGGGTCTGTGGCACAAAAAAAAGAAGTTAAAACCCTGTGAAATGGACTACAGCTTCAGAGTCACAATTTCTAAATTCTGGTGAGGTGCTAAATAGATAAGAGTAAGTAAGGGAAATCACGAACCAACTGCAGAGCAAGGAGTTGTAAAATGTATTTGTAATTTTTGAGCTGAATTCTATTTTCTGATTAAAATCAATGAATAAAAATGATCATAATAAAAGCTAATATTCTTGAGTGCTTCCGATATGTCCATTCTGCATATCTTCACTGCTTTAATTCTAATAATTCTATAGGGAAGTTGTTAGTAAATGAAGTAGTTTGTACACTGGAATCTTACTAATTTATCTTAAATTGGTCATCAAAGGGCATCAAATCTTAAATTGGACCTCAGTTTTCCTATCGTAAAGTGGGCATACCAGCCTTCTTATGTGCTCCATGATAATGGGGAATAAAAAGGGAGCTGAGAAGAGCTCTGGGCATCTCAAAAAGGGTGGCACATGATCTGTAAACAGTGTTGCCCTAGGCTATTAGTATAGCAGTTTTTTAGTGGTCTACAATTGTGTATTCAATTGAAAGAAAAGTCAAAAGTGGCTATTTCATTTTGAATAAATTGTTTTAGTTTCAGATGTTTGCCAGAATGCTTTGAAAGAGATGTTTTTCATGTGGCTTGAAAATTCCTTCACTTGCCCAACAAAAATTTTTGGAGTGAGAGCATGCATTTATAAGAGCACTTCACTGACTGATGAGTGGATATAGAATAACACAGTTTCACCCCTCAAGTCATTAAAGAAATTAAAGAATGCAAGATCGCTATCAATCAAAACGAACCACAGATGCTTAGTACTTGTCAATGCCTTGAGCACGGCCAAGAATTTACTCTTCGATCTGCTGTGGTAGCTCTCTTGGAGTTGCCATGGCTTTTAATTAAGTAAACAGGACAATGTCCAAATCGCAGAGTTCAGAAGACATGAAGGTTTACATGATGAAGGTTTTACTTGCCTTCTCCTCCAGAGCCAAACCCAACATACAACTGTGGTGACCACAAGGAGGAGGAGAAGGGGAACACAGGGGGCTAGGATGTAGGCAAGATTCCACGCAGCCTCTGAAAAGAAAAATGCACATTATCAGCATTTGTGATGTTTTTATGTGCTTCAAAACAGACTTAAAAGCATCATCAACACAATCAACACAGAGTATTCCAAAAAGCATCTACTTTAAAAAAAAAACGAACATTTTCTACTTATCCTGTTATTCTAGGTAATAGATAAAAGAAGTTTCAATTTTGGGGCCTCCTGTAGGTATCAGAAGGGAAGTTTTACTAGTTTTTTTTCCAGACAAAAGATATTCTCTCTTCTTGTCCTTTCTCTCCCTTAACGAAGAAGAGGCTGCCTGGACAGCATTGATGTTTTTGACTCTAGAGATGGAAATGGGAAATGGTTGTTCCCACGGTGGGGCGACAGAGAGGGATGGAAAAAGAAGCAAGCTGGAAGTCTGAGTTATTACCAGGAAGGAGCAAGTCCCATGGAGCACAGGAATCAGACTGTAGAACCTTCTGTCAGGGAATTATCTTTCAAGGGGCTTGGGGAGAAATCAAGGATTGAGGACTGACCCCTTTCCTACCATCCATCCAGAGGCTGGTGCTTTGTTTTTCTATGAGGCTGCACACCTGAAAGCCACACACACACACACATGCATGTGCACACAAACCCAAAATAAAACCCACTTTAAATATTACCATAATAACAAAGAGCAATAAAAATGGCACTCATCTCTGTATAGCACTGTGTACTTTTATAAATATACTTTCACATATGTGTATTATCTGTTGTAGAATAACAAATTTGCCCAGGGTTCCTGGGAAGGACACTAAATCTTTGGAATTAAGATTTAGTGTCCTCACTAAATAAGTGACTCAGGAAATAAGAGTGACTGCTACTCATGAGCCCCTCAGATCATATCAGTTTATGCTGACAGGGATGTTTCAGGATGGGGGCCAGTGGGGAGAGAGTGGGACCTAGAGAATAAGTTCGAATACGTGGTCAATGGTCAAATCAATTATGCTAATGCAATGACACCTCAGTAATACTTTTGCACACTGAAGCTCAAAGGAGCTCTTCGGTTGGTGAACACATTGATGTGTCAGGAGCATGATAAGGCATCCTGATTCTATAGGAACAGGACCCAGAAGCTCCCCATTTGGGACCCTGCCAGACCTCACCTTATGTGTGTTTGTCATTTGGCTGGTCCTGATTTGTATCCCTTATAATAAAATGTAGTCATAATTATAGTATTTTCTTGTGTTCTCTGAGTCATTCTACAAAATCAATGAACCTGAGAGGGTTGAGGGCACCCCTTGGATTTACAGCCAGTTAATTAGAATTGCAGGTGGCTTGGGGACCCCAGAAGTTGTGGCTGATATCTGAAGTAAAGGCAGACTTGTTAGTGTCTGAGCCCTTAACCTGTAGGGTCTGTGCTAACTTGGGGTGGCTAGTGTCAGAATTTAATTGTGGTATTGCAATATCCTGTTTTATTTCATGGATACAGTTTTTTAGGCAGGTGGAAAATATTATTACTTCCATTATGTAAATGATTAAGTTGAAGCACTGAGATATTAAGTGATTTTTAAAAGTTGTCCAGTAACAAAAACCCAGCTCCCTCTCTTAAAACTCAAGGTCGAAAGTCCATTAGCACTCCAATTTATCACCCATTTCCTTTCATCTATTATGATTTAACTTTTAAAATGTTTTTGCCCATTTCCTTTATTTGTTTCACAAATGAATATTAATCATTTCTGGTCTGGGTCTTTCTACTCTTATTTCTTCACCTCCATTTTCTCAGTCTATTCCCCAAGGCTCTATCTTCATGCAGATCATCTCCCCAATTGTCTTAAGATAGCTCTATTTACATACTTCACTGATGAAATCTAATATTTAATTAACTTTTGCAAAGTCCCACATGCCCTGTCTAGTTCCATTGTTAGGTAGCCATGGAAAGAGGAAAGCAGGAAATGTAGCTGTGGGTAATTTGTGATCAAGAGAGACCATTATCTATTTTTCCCAGGAGAGTTCTGTATATACCTTTGTTGTCTTTAAAGGTTTCTGTGGCATCTTCTTTCTCTGTGTCTTCTGGAAGTATGGGTATGGCTGGCTCTGTTCTTTCACCTGGAGACAGACACATGAACTTGAGAACCTGAAGAAAGGCATCATAATCCAGATAGTCTCTGAGGTCCTACCAAATTCAAGGTGGGATGCCAAAAGGCAGTAGCAACTTGACCAGTGCCATTCTTAAACATAGAAAAGTAGAGGGTAGTATCTGCTAGCATAGAGGTTTGGTTGTCTTTATCGTTCTGGTGAGACTCCCGTACTGAATCATGTCCTGAAACAACCAGCAGGTGGCTGGCATCAGGCACAAACAGTGCTGTGGTGCCAAGGGGAAGAGTCAATGAGTCACTTCCAGGACCATCAAAGATCAGTTTGTCTCACTTTTTTAGCTGAATTGAGTTATTCCTTTCATATTGTCAATAAGGGCAAGTAACATCTCAAACTGAATTTGCAACTATTTCTTTTCAGCTTTGAGAGAACTAGACAACGCTAGAGAGTGAGATTAATGAATTATTTATTATGGCTGTTTATGGAATATACCTGTTTCAATGTTTGAAGTTAACTTCACACCACTAATCTTTCTGTTGAATAATCTGGTCTAAAGATCACATGGTTCTAACCTTATGAAGGGCTGCGAAATAGCCCAAATTAACCCAAATCTCAAAAGACAGGCTTACCTCCTGGCCCCATAGAAGGAGCTGTTGGTTCCTCTGTGGCAAAAAGAAACAAAAATAAAGACAATAACTAAATTTCCATGCCATCTGAATGAAATTGGCCAGATCATGGATTCCATTTATTTGCTCACTGGATGCCAAGAATGGAGTTAGTAAATCAAAAGAATCACTTGTGCACAAAGACCAGCCTTCCTCCAGCTTTGCTTGGGCACCATTTTCTTTTTTAAGAAGTATTTTGAAATTTTTAAATATGAGAATTTCCAAATATACACAAAAATAGACTGGTATAACGAACCTCTATGTACCATCACTCAGTGGCAACTCTTATCAACATACGGCTAATCTAGTTTCAACAATAATCCCTACTCCTCCCCTACTATGCGGAGGTCTGAGTTATTTGAAAGCAATCCAAGACATTTTAACAATTTCTATTGGGATGTGTTAGAAAGCAACAAACACTGATCTACTAGCAGTGAAAGTAGTTGAGGGGCTAAGTAGACCCTCAGTAGAGACTGGTGATCTAGAACCCTGAGTCATTTTAAATATGTCAGAGAGCCTGGGGAAAGTCAGGTTGCACAGATAACCTGTAACAAATGTTTTCACTTTTGGGTGGGAGTGTGTCGACCTCTTGTATAGGCAGTCACTTTCTTATGCTAATCAGATGCTCTAGGATTCATAAGGATTGGGTCCCTATGGACAAGATGTTAAAATTCACAGTCCTAAGGCCAGGATGTCAAAGCTATTCAGAGAGAAAACTAAATCATCTTCTCCTAAGTTCATGAATTTGTAGAGGTGATGCAAATCCATTAGTTTAATAAATATATACAGTGCATGTTATATAACAGAAACACCATCATGTTCTAAGTGGTTTCTAAACGCAAACACAATTTATCCTGATAACAGCTTTTTGAGGTATGTGCTATTATTATTCTGACTTTGTACATGCGCAAACTGACCGACAGGGTGATTACATAACTCCTTTAAATCTCTTGGCTCTAAGGTAGTTGCTGAACTGGGATTTGAATCAAATGGTCCCTAGCTGAGTAGCTAATTAGAGCATCTTCCTGACACGCCAAGGTTGTGGGTTCAATCTCTGGTCAGGGCACATACAAAAATCAACCAATGAATGCATAAATGAGTGGAACAACAAATCGATGTTTCTCTCTCTCGGATCAATAAATAAAAATTAAAATAAATTCAAGTGAAAATTAAAATCACAAAAAGACAAACTCTGTGCTAGGTAATGGAAATAAAATAGCAAATGAGAAATGGTCCCATCCCTCTAAGTCTCGTACACTCTAGTTTGGCCATAAAATATTGAAATAGAGAAAAATATTAATAAATATTGATTTTGTGATATTATATTACAATACTAGGTATAGTCCATAACATTACATGATCTATTAATTTTCCTGTCCTTTCATGGTTCAGTCCATTGTGCAAACCTGCAGTAATCAGCATATTTCGACAGCATTTCCTTCAGTCCTTCAGTGCCTTTGCAATGTGTTGCCTCTGATGACTTGTCTGTGATATTTACTGAATCTGCCTATGCTGTTAGCATATGACAGTAGTAATCAAGTGTTCAGATCTGGCTAGTATGCTGCCTGCTTACTCTTCGTGGTCATAGGGTCAAATCCAGTTTCAGATGTTATTCACTCAGTCCTCTGACCCTCTGGCATAATGGATGGTGTACCATCCTGTTTAAACCACACTGGATGACATTCCCCTAAACCATCAAGTGCAGGGGTTAATTGGTCAGACATGTATGTTTTCAGGCCTCATGCCAACCATGCAGTGAAGGGGACAGACTTGTAAATAAGCCGTGAAAGTACTGTGTGGGGGGGGTGCTGCGGTCCTCAGAGGAGGAACACCTAATCTGGTTTGAGGGTCCCTGGATGGTGTCCCAGAATAAATTTTTTTTTCTTATTTTGAAGTAATTTCAGATTTATGAAAATTAGCAAAGATAGTACAAAGAATTCCCATATAACCTCCCCCCAAAGTTATTGTATTTCACTTATTTAACTACTCTTTTTAATATCTCTCCTTCTTGCTGTCATTACTCTGAAAGATGACCCACCTCTGTCTTTGCAATCACCCTGCCTAAGACAACTGTTTATGGTGGGGAGGACCAGTTCTGGAGAACAGAAGTCACTTGAGGGATGGGAAGAAAGGAAAGAAGCCTTTTAGCAGTAAAAATTGCAGCAAAAGCATTGTCAATTCAAGCAATTTAAAAATGATAGAATTATTTAGTAACCAACTAGATATAACATGTCATTGTATTCCTGTCAGGAAAGGATTCAGCAAATTGGAGCCAAGCAGTTGGCTTCGTAGAGGGGAGAAAACTCAGGGACAGAACAAAAATCACACCAAGTTTAGATCAAAGTCAGTTATAGTGGAGGAGTTCGGGAAACTCCAGCAGAATGAGACTACATTTTCATGGACGCTCTACTCCTAACAGATCTAGAAACAAATGCCAGTTGAATTTGCAAGGTTTATATAGAGGGTGGTCTGGGAGTATGAGCTCATCAATGTATCTGGTCTTTGCTCAATGCCAGTGAAATAGGTGTGTTTTATTACCTACATCCTCTGATCATTTTGTGGTTTCCTTAATGCCCTGGCAAATAATCTCACAGGGCTCTTAGAAGGCTTATAGGAACAATGGACAGCTTCCTTTCATATTTCTTCTTTTTTAAAAAAATATTTATTTATTTATGTTTAGAGAGAGGAGAAGAGAGGAAGGGAGGGAGAGAAACATTGATGTCTGAGAGGTACAGTTGACTCTTGCATGCTCCCAAATGGAGACTTGGCCTGTAACCCAGGCATGTGCCCTGGCTTTGGATCAAATGTGTGACCTTCTGGTTTGCAGGCTGGCACTCAATCCACTGAGCCACACCGGCCAGGGCTCATTTGTCTTCTTAATTCCAAGATCCTACAGCCAACATCACGTGTGGAAAGAATAAGAATTTATAATTGTCCATTTAGAGGGCTTTTTATTTCCTGAGTTCTTTATTTTTCACAATTCTTGGTGTATTATACATAAATTAGACCTTTTATTTTCTTCATCCATTCTCTAAGCATCTGATACCCATCTCCTTTGCTAGACTTACTCCTCAATAAGGAAGGGTCATTACATTTCCCTTTACAAGAATTCCCAGTGTTTAACATTGCTGGCATTGGCAACAAGCTTTCTCAGAGACCACATAGCAAATGCTTGGAACTAGCAGCTGCTTATGAAATGAGACAGGAAATTGAGATTCAGCCACATAACTTGGGAGAGGATTCGTTACCATCAGAATATTTGCAAATGAAATTGTTCTTCATGTTGCATCGGTCATCATTCCACTGGAACATATAGGGGCCCCCGATGCCGGCGGGTGCTGATGGCTGATGGTACATGACCACGCAGACCTCGCTGCCACAGGAGGGCTCATCCACGTACCAGTTCCTGTAGGAAAGGGGTCACCAGTGGAGACAGCTGGAGAAGGGTACCACAAAACTTCAAAGCCTTTTTCCATGCAGCCATGAACTTAAGATTCTGCTTCAGAACAAGATGCAGAGAGGGAGGAAATGAAGTACTGCCAGTAAGAACAGTCGCATGTTTTCTAATATGGACAGCACAATCAATCATCTGACATTTGTCACAACCTCTTTGCAGGGAGGGAGGAATATATTACCCTAGGATGTCTGCAAAGTAATTATTAGAAAAAGCAGCTAGCAGCAACAGTCTGGACAATCTTATTTCTTTCTCGCTTTTTGATAACTGGGTTTGTTTTTCTATTTTTTAAGAAATCAGATGCATTGAGAAGAGGCATGACTTATCTCAACCAGACCTTGCCCTGCTTTCATCTCCTCATTCTTTTTAATTGGCTACAAGAGCCTTCCTAACCCTGAGAAGACGTTCCAAAATGTAGAGGCTGTCAGAACAGAGGAGGGAGGACAGAACAAGAAAGAGCAGGAGGCCCATGTAGGCTTTTTCAGTGGTTTCCAGTTCATCAGGCCCCCCGTCAGCCTCTACTGCTAGATTTCTCGTCTTTGTCTCCCTAGCTCCTAGATGGGGTGCATTAGCAGCCTTGGCTCCACTATACAGTGGTACCTGGAATTGCATGGTGCCACCACCGAGCTGGATACGTGGGCGCCAGGTTTTGGATTCCATAGAGAGACTAAGTGCTGTGAGTACCCACCGCACACATTGAGCCAGGGCTGGGCTCTAGTCTGCCTGGTAACTCGCCTGAGCTGTGTGTTTCCAGCATTCAGACCTTGCCCTGATGCTCAGATTGTTAGCTGGGCCCTGCCTCTCTGCCTACTCTTGTCAGAGCCCCTCCTTAGGAGACAGCTAGGAGACAGGTCTCCTCATTTCACCCCACTATGGCTCTGCTTGAGTGCTGTGTTGCCATCCACCAAAACCCTTTGCTGTAGCCACAGGATTTTATGTGTCTGGATAACATCTGACCTTGCAACACTGCTTGGACACTATGCCTGGACAGCTGGGGGCCCTACCTGGGGCCGGGGCCCTGCACCTCGTTAGTTACCTCCAGGCCATTCTCCAACTCCATCGGTGGGCCTCCTACACTGACTCGCCTCTTCTCCTCCCCACAGGCCTTATGGCTTTAGGTTATTTCACTTCATAGATGATAGAATAGATGGAATGTTGTCTGTTTGATAGAGAATTGTACCTGGCACCTGATTTCTGGACTTGAGCCAGTTTTTAGAATTCACTGACAGAAGGAGAGCCTAGGTTCCAAGGACTCTGCAATATCATGGCAGGTGCATGTGGTAATTATTTCCCCTGTTTTCCGAAACAGACCTATGTCCATTTACTCAAGTAACTGTATACTTGGAAAAGAGGAATATCCAACTATTATAAAGACTGTTGGATACAAGGTGCAAGTTGACATCGATACCCAAAAACCTGAAGTGTTATCAAGGCTACCCGTTAGAGTGGGAGCATACTGAGGCCCGGTATCAAGTGGAATCCTGGCCCAGGACCAGCTAGCTCACAGTGGGACTAGTCTAGTGGTTATTCCTCAGTCCCTGAATATACAAATTGAAAGTCTATAGGTAAGAGCTATAATAGTAGAGATCAAGTGTAAGCCTCTGCATCTGCATTCTTCCACACTCTCTTCAAGATAATAAAAACAACATCTTATCTAGGGGAAGATGACAGAAAGTACTACCATCCCTAAAGACCTAGGGACTGCAACATTGGTATTACCCATCATATCTGTTCAATTCACTAGTCTGGCTCCTGAAAAAAAAAAACAACCAACAGGCAGATCCTGAAGGATAATACTGGAGTAGTATAAATGGGACCAAGTAGAAGCCTCAAGTACAGCTGCTATGCCATATATGGTATCTGTGCTAGAGCACATTAACATGCCCTTGGTACCTAGTATGCATATCTGGTGAACAGATCCTTTTCCATCTTTATCACAAAAAGAATCAGAAACTGTTTGCATTTATTTGGAATGGACCACAGTATACATTTATAGTCTTCCCTCAAGACTATACTAGTTTTTCTGCCCCCTGTCCTAATGCGGCGTGAGGAGACCTGGACTGCCTAGATAGCTTGCAGAAAACCACACTGGTCCACTATATTGCTGGCATCATGCCAATTGAACCAAGTGAGCAAGAAGCAGCTAGTATATTGGAGGCCTTCTTGGTAAGATTTGTGTGCCCCAAGGGTTAAAGATAAACCCTATTAAGATTCAGGGACCTGCCACTTTGTGAAAATGCGTGGGTGCCTTTCACATTAAAAGACTTCATGCAGTAATTCAAAGCATCTTGCAATAACTTGAAGAAGGAAGCATGGTACCTGATAGGTGTCTTTGGAAACAGGTAGCATGTTTCACACCTGGGAATACAGCTCTGTCTCACATACCAGCTGACACAAAAAACTGCTGGCTTTGAGTGTGATCCAGAGCAGATAAGGACTCTGAAGCAGGTGTAGGCTGTGGTGCAAACAGACTTGTTACTTGGGCCACAGGATTAAGTAGACCCTATTATTAGAGGCATCAGTGGCGGGAACAATTATGCCATATCGAATTTGTGACAAGCCCCAGTGGGAGAATCACAATACAGACCCTTAGGATTCTGTAGAAAGGCCTTGTCATCTATAGCTGAGGAAGGAACACATAGCTTGTGAATACGCAGGGAGCATTAGGAGACCATTTAATCCAACTTGCCCATCATGAGTGAGGCACTGTCAGACACACATAGTTACAGGATGGCAGGCCTGGAATTAACCCACTATGAGATGGAAGAGGTATAGATAGGGCTGAAGGGCATTGTATGAGTAGGACCAAAGGGTAGATAGAGCAGACTTCCATGACATCTACCTATTCTTGTATCAGAGCCTCTTTCTCCACTGACACCCACAGCTGTATAAGGGATCCCTTATGACTCGCTGAGAGGAGCAGCCCAAGCTTGGGTTGTGGAGAGGTCATTCAGGTACGGGAGTATAGCAGCAAATGGACAACAGCTGTCCTCCAGCCCCGTGCAGAGGTGGCCTTAAAAAATCAAGTGTTCAGGGTACATCCTCCCAATGTTCAGAGCTTACTTGGTAGTTATTGGAGGTTGCAATATAAAAGGACTCAAGGGTAGAGCAGAGAGCTTGGCCAGCTGATCAGGAGAAAAAAAGTCTTTCTAAAAGGAGAAAGAATAAAAGATTGAGGTCAAGGACTATTGGATAGAGTGATGTGAACAGACATATGAGAAGAGGCATAAAGTATGAGAGACTCTGTCTTATGTTAAAGCCCACCAGAAAGCTACTAGCATGGAAGGGGCCCTAAACAATGAAGGGGACAAAATGACTCAACCAGTTGAAGTCAGCCAGCCTGTGAGCAGCTGCCCCAAGTACTGGCACAATAGATATCAGAGTAGCCATGGTGGCAGGGATGGAAGTTATGCTTGGGCTCAACAGTATCAGTCCTGACTCTCCAAGGGTGATCTAGCAATTGCCAAACATCCAACCTCCAGCACTAGTCCTGAAAGGGCATCAACCCTAGGAGACCAGCCTGCCACTTGGTACCAAGATGATGACATTAGACTCCTTCCAGTGATTCACTTTGACAGGAATAGACACACAATCTGGCTATGGGTTTGCCTTTCTCGGCTCAGGGCCTTAGATAGCATCACTATCCAAAGGCTTACACAGTATTAGATCTGCCAACACAGGATCCCGAGCCACATCTCATCAGACCAAAGGATCTACTGTATAGCAGAGGAGGAGGAGGAGGAGGCACCTGGCTGTGGGATTTACTATTCCTATTATATGTTGCATTATCTCGAAGCTGCCAGCTTGACAGAGTGATGGAAGAGTTGTTGAAAACACAGCTGAAGCATCCTCCAAGATGCAGTGCACTCTTTGAATCAATGACCTTAGTATTACCTTAAGCCCCCAAAGGTAAGAATAGATGGGTTTGGGAGCCTAAGGGTGGAAGCAGGAGTAGTCCCAAATACTGTCACTTGGGGAATTTCTACTTCTTGTCTCTACAATGCTGGGCTCTATGAGTTTAAAGGTCCTGGTACCCAAAGGGTGCCCATTATAAGATACAGCAAGAGCTTTATTGAATTATGAGCTATGGCTGCCACTTGGGCACTCTGGATCCTTGTGTCCAGGGACCAGCAGGCAAGAAGAGGACTCATGATCTTGACAGGGAGTAACTGACTCTAGTCATGAGGAGGAAGAACATCTGCTATTACACACATGGGCAGAGAGAGATAAGTTTGGCCCCCAGGTAATCTACTTGGGTACATGTTGGTACTCACGTGCCCAATTTTGATGGTAAAGGGAAAAGCACAATCACTTTTCCAGCCCAAGGAGTACAGGTGACCAGGGCCTCACACTCCCTGAGCAGAGGACGAGGGGAATGGACTGGACAGTAGAGGAGGGAGATGAATAAGTGTCCATTGTGGCCCTGGGACCAGCTGCAGTAGTGGGAATGCAGATCATCTTATTAACCTTCCTTTTTAAAGTTTTTTTCCAGGAAGAGATGCCCATGAGAATCCCAGAGGAAGTTCTCCTGGAACTTAGATGAAGACATGGATCTTATTAGCATAGTGAGTATGAGAGATGCTGACAACTGTCTTAAATGTAATAGGTAAAAAAAGATGTATTTCAACCTTTCTTTTGACTGGTAATGAATTTAAACTTTTTTTTCATATGACTGTTTACCAGTCAGATTTTGTATTTTCTGAAAAGTCTGCTTAGGTCCTTTGCCTCTTTATCTTTTGGGGTTTTATTAACTTATATAAACGTTTAGTGTTTTATGGATTTAGATAAATTCAGAAAAAGATACTCTTTGTTAAATTTGCCACAACATTTTTTCAGTCTTACATCTGCCTTTTGATTTTATATTTTTGATGTTTTTCCATGTCATTGCATTTCTTGGGGCGGGGGAAGGTGATGGCAATACCATGGTGCCAGGGTCAGGTGGAAATGAGTGAGTCCTGATGCTGTGGGTTTAGGAGGGTTCTACAAACTGCAGCCTTTCCTAAGTCCTCTCTTGGCCAATTCATAGAATTAGATCTTGGCTCTGATTTCCTGTGCATCATTCTGATTTCCTGTGGTTTGGAGTCCTATCCTAAGTCTTAGCCCCACAGACCTTCAATCTCTCACTGGAGTTCTAGTCTGACAAGCCAGACAGCCAGAACCATTGGCTTGAAGCATTGCGTGCCACTGAAACAATGCTTCTGGGCTGCACCCTCCTGAACAGAGCTCTTTGGATATGAGTGGATCCCAGGTCAAGGCTGCTCCACCACCTTCACCACACTGCTCTGGGCAGTGCTATTCTGGTGCAGCTGTCTCTTCAGGCCTGTTGCCAGAGCTGGCCTTCTCCTCTTCCTCACTGACCTGGCACTGCGGGTCTGGCCTGCTTTCTTTTTCAGTTATGTCAAGTGAGTTAGCCGCTGTGGGTTTCACACACTTACCTGAATGCTGATATGCTGCCATCGGTCCAAGTGTAAAGGTTCTGGCAGGCTGTGCTGTTGCTTTGTTTCTCCTCATGCCTCCTGAGCCCAATCCAGAAATCGCCATCAGATGCCAGAAGGTTTTCGATGAGCTTTTCTATCAGCCTCTGTTCACCTTCAGACTCGATGCTGACTAGCTGACCTCCATCCCTCCTGCAGGCTGCTCTGGCTTCCTCAAAGGTCAGTCTTTGAGAAGCATCATGGAAGTAAATGATTTTATAACAAGGCCTCTGTGTTCCTCCCCGGCAGACGGGCTGCCCTAGAGAAAAAAGAAGCCAACCTATTTCAGTGCTCCCCACGTGCACCAGGATGTGTGGATGAAGCCATCCCTAGGGCACGAATTCTGATTCCTCATCAGTGGACTGTTGTAATGTTAGTTAGGGTTCTTAGAGCAAATTAATACCCTTTCTAACATGGAGATGCAGCCAATTAAACTATATTGTGTAGGAGCTCCATGTTTTGTTTGTTCCATTACAGATTCTTGAACAAGAGACATTTTGGACTATCCTTTAAAAGAGGGGTAGATGGCTCTGGCTGGTGTGGCTCAGTTGGTTGGAGTGTCCTCCTGTAAACTAAAAGGTTGCGGGTTTGATTCCTGGGCAGGACACATGCCTGGGTTGTGTGTTCAGTCACTGGTTGGGGCCTGGACGAGCATCAACTGATCAATATTTCTCTTTCACATGGGTATTTATCTCCCTCTCTCTCTTCTGCCCTTCCCCTCTCTCTAATTTAAAAAAAAAACCAAAACACAAAATTTAAAAAAAAGAGGCAGATGAAAACTTATGGTTTCAATTAAAAGCACAAAAATCACTTTCATGCCATTAGGGAGTCTCAGAGGATAGTGTGGCTTTGAGTGCATTATCTCTGGCTGGTGCTCCCTTCAGGTGAGAGAGGCACTCTGAAATCGGGTGTAGGCTTGTATACCTTGGAGCCCTCTGCCTAGTGGCAGGACTGAGAATTCACAGTCTGTGTTATAAGCAGAAGCTACGAGCATCAGATCCACATGGTTCTCTGCTACTGATTTTTCCTAAAGACAACTAAGTTTTACTGAACTCCCACTATGTGCCATGAACTATGCCAAGGTTTTTCACATTTATGCATATTATTTATCTCATTGAGGTGTTATAGTAAGCCCCTGATGTAGATATTGTTTGTGCTCCATTTTACCGATGAAAAAACTGAGGCTTAGAGAAATTAAGTAATTTGGCTTAGGTCACATAGCTATCAGTCACATTACCTAAGTCAGAGCCCAGGTCTCATTACAAAGTCATGCCAGTAACCAGTGAACTGCGCACTCCCTACTCTACCCCAGGCTCAGGTTGCACTGGAAGCCCAGGTCATCTTGACTGACACATGAAGGGTGGAAGATCATCTTAGACAAATAGATGGGATTCTACTGAGGAGCAAAAAACAAATTGTTCACCGTTACGCACACCCTTGGCTTGTGTCTGGGTGCCTGAAGCCTTGCTGCACCTGAAACATTAGCCTCATTATTCCTTTGTTTAATCAACATGTGTTGAGTGCCTAGCACTGTGATAAGTGCTGGGAATATGGAAACAAATGCCAGTTCCTAGCCCACAGGAGCAGACAGCATATGTCTCTGGATCCAGTTGTACAGAGTGAAAACCAAATTTCAACAAGGGGAATCCCTTGCAGTGGAGAGCCAAATCGTGGGCTGTGGGTGTGAATTGCTGTCATAAAGCAAGAGATTAAGGATTTTGGTCTGGAAACCTCGTCCCACCCCTCACGGAATAGTCTTGTCTTCCTAACTTGTTTTGCAGCTGTGCAGGGAGCCAGACAGTACTCGTTATTCTCAATACTGTTTAGAATATAGTGCAAATGGGAACAGAGCACATACAGATAACCCAGAAGGCTCTTGTGGTTTATTTTCTATTTCCTCTTTTATTGCTTTGGTAAAGAAATTCTCAATAAGTAACAAGTTACAAGAGTTTTGCACCTTCTTCTCTGTGACATTCTGCTATTGCTAAATAAACACTAATAGGACTGGCCTGTCAGAGAAATAGGAGGCCTCAGACACGGGACATTTTCACTGAAGGGGTATTTAGAGAAATCATCACCACTGGACAGAGGCTGTGGCTGGGCTTCTGCCTGGGGAGAAGGCTGGGCCAGTCCAGCCCCTCTGAGTCCTTAGAGGTGGCTCCAAACAGCCAGCAGAGGACACATGCATGAGCCCTAGGACCCCCGCAACCAGCAAAACATAAGTTTGAGCTGAATTTACCGGTAATCCCCACTGAACACTGTTGGATTATCAAGGGAAAACATAACACCTTATAGGCGTTTCCTGTATGGTCCAGCCTGGCCACACATCCCAAGTCAACTAACTGGTGAGTGCCAGAGAGAGCGAGCCAGAGCTGGAAGGAGGCCCGGGGGCACATCTGGTTCCCCCGTCTTCAGGAAGTGGCTCTCTCTTCTTATTTGCGGGAAGGGGGAGGGCGAGAGGACTCCTGTCCCCCATGAATAAAGGCAGAACCCAAGCAGCCCAGTTACAGCTACCCTTCACGCACCCCACCCCATCCTGTAACCAACTTTCGATTTTTTTCAATCAGCTGCGCAAGCACGGTAACGGAGTGCTGGTTTGCATTCTCCTCCGTCCCTCTTGGCCAGTCTGTGGCCTGCGAGGCCGACCTGAGAACTGAGAAAGAGAGGAGCACGGACCTTCTACCCCCGACATGCAGAGCGAATGGAGGGGCGAGAAGCCAAAGCACAGTACCTCCTCTGAGGTCCAAGTCCGAGGCTGCAGAGACACGACAGGAGGAAGGAAGCAGAGAGAGTCACTTCTCCGAGTCAGGCGGGGCTTGTCCCGCGCAAACTAGTCTTCTTTCCACTCTCTAAGCGATTTTATTCCAAGTGCTGGATTCAGCCATCCCTCCACCTCCCCGCCCCCACCCCGTCCCCACCCCAAAGACCAAGAGTAACAGGCACTGCCTGTCCAGAACCCCTATTGTACCCGCAGTCTCTAGGGTCAGAAGACGTCCCCAGGGGGCAGGACAAGGGAGTTAGGGAGCCCTACCCGCGTGAGGGTCGCGGGGTCTGCTGCACCGCGCACAGTGGAAGGGGCACCTACTAGGGCAGCTTTGCTCACTGCCCACCTAGCCTACGTCCCCTGAATTCCCGTGACACTGGGCCTGGAACGGACTTCGAGCGATCCAGGATGGATCCCGGCGTGAAGGAAATCCGCGCGTGTTTTAGCCCCAGGGTTATTGCTCCATTAGAAACAGGGTGAGCTGAAGGGTGCCTCCACCCACAGGGTGGAGGCGCCACCGCCCCCTCCCCCACCCCCGGTTCTGCGGAGGGCCAAAGAGGCACGGTGTCCCAGAGGAGGGCAGCGGCTGGGGTGCAGTAGATGCGTCAACCGAACCTGCCCAAGACCCGCACTCCGCCCCAGAGCACTCACCACTTAGCAGGCGACCCGTAGCGCCACGGAGCGCCCCCAGCAGCAGGGCCAGCAGGACGGCCTGCAGCGCCGGTCTCAGCTGCATGGCCCAGCTCTGGTGTGCCCTCGGACGCCCAGGCGCTAGCGCGGTGTGGCGGGCGGACCTCCAGCGGCGTGAAGAACAGCAACCGCAGCAGCAGCATCTCCAGAGGACCCACGGACCCGACACCCGGACGAGGCCGGGAGGGCGCGGAGCCTGCCAGTCTCCCTTCCGCCCCCTGGGACGTCACTGCTAGGAGGGCAGCCCCGCTAGCTAGCCCGCCCCCATTGCCTGCTCCAGCGGGCTAGGCGCCAGACACCCGGACCGCCCGAAGAGAGCGAGTCGCGGACGGGAGGGAGCTTCCCAAGGAGGTCCTTCATTTGCCCGGGACTCAGGGCTGGGGAAAACCCTAGTTTGGCTTCTCTGAAATCTGAAAAAAGAGCATGTGGCTAAAAATTGAACCACATCTCCTGAGGACATAGTCTAATTCACTCTGTGCTCTAGGCTCTGCAAATGGGCCAATTGGAGAGGCAAGGCACTCAGACCTTCACGGGGCTGGGTAGAGTGCGGGTGCAGGCGTTCGGGGAGAAAGGAACGGTAGCTGCAGAGTAGAGATGCTGAGGGAGGCAGCGTGCCACTGGCCAGGCACGCTATGGGACAGTGTGGACAGCTTCCAGAGAAGGAGGCTAAGTGGAGTTCTGGCTGAGAGGAGAGCAGCTACACCAGAGGCCAAAGGGTAACTCTAAATTCAGCAAGGAAATAACTGTACTGCGTTTTGCAGGGCACACGTTGGGATGTGGGGACGATTGTTCAGCCCTGGACTTGTGATAGAGTGACCCCAGTTCCTCTGGAAAAGCTTTCCCCATCAATCTAGCCCTCATTATGCGCTCCTTCTTCTAAACTCCCACAGTAGTTTTGTTTTACATTTGCTTCTTATAGATCACAATGCTTTCAAATATACTCAAACAATTATAACATAAGCCTCCTGTCCCAAAACTAGGTGACAGAAGGTGGGTCTGATTTCCTTGCTTTTCCCGCTCTGTGAATCCAAGCAGAAGCTCCATCTGGGTCACTGACTTCTGGGTTTGGGTCTCAGCATGAGCTACTTCAATTCTAGACAAACAGCCCTGAACACAGGAAGCCGTGAGGGGCGTGGAGGCAGAGAAGCCTGTTTCAGTACCAGCAGAAGCTCTGCTGCAGCAGAAAACAGTAGCATCATCGGGAACTTATGGCAAGTTCACTTACAGCCAGTCTTTATGTCTGAATTAGAACATCTCGTATCCAACATACATTCTAGAAATTCCTGATTATCCAATCAAACGGAGTGCTGCTATGGTGAAAATTGGCCCTTGAATTGGCATCTGATATTGTTTCCAGTCCTGCATTTCTTCACTTAATGTCTGTGTGGCCTTCAAGATTTTTTTTTCTTAAGTTTCAATTAAATCTTGATAACACTAAAAGTTACCTTGAGTTTTGTAAAGGGTTGATAAGGCAAATAGATATTCAAGTGTGTAGATAGCTGGGCACTTAGTGTTGATTGCAAAAGATTTATTTCCAATATTACAACATTTATTACAACTTAGAAAAGCTGCTTTCTTGGTCCAATTAAATTGTGCCCTGAGTTTTCCTTTTGATACTCTGACCATTGTCCAGATAGGCTTTGTTAAGGTATGCAGTCAACCTAATGGGGTAGATTGCAATAACAACCCCAATTCTTCACACCATCCTGTATCCATACCCTTTACTATATGACTTTGCAGTTCCTCTTACTAAAGGAGCAGAGTATATTTCTCTACCTCTTGTCTTTGTGTTTGCCCATGTGACTTGTCTGGTCAACAGAATGAACCAGAAGTTTCTGAGCCCAGACTGGAAAAGGCCTTACATGTTTTTATTTGTTCTCTTGCTTCTCTCGAACATGGAGAGGAACATAGCTCAAATGTCCCACTGGTCCATGGATGTCCCAGAGAACATATGAGGAGCAGAATTGCCTTAATCAACAGACCTGTTGATTAAGCTGACTCTGATACTGTAGCCTGAAAGTGAAAAGCTGACCTGCCTCAGATTCTGTAGCCTGACGCGCAGCTGTCTGGCCAAGTCCAGATCAGCCAAAACCCTACCTGACATACAGATGTGTGAGCAAAAATAAATACTGTTTTAGGTCACATCGTCACACAGTATTATTGCAGTAATACCTAACCACCGTGCCCGGTAATGCATAGAAGTGTTACCAGGGGAAGGCAGATTGCCAAGAAAGCTCACAAAGTGGGATTTTTCTTGGTATAATTATATTGGTCCAGGTTCCAATCCTTAGTTTGATGAACTCAAACCCAATCTAAGAGACATATATTCACACATTGAGAAATATAATCATTAGGTAAACTGATGTTTGCATTGGGTTGTTGAGCACATTAAAAGAAGATTCCTCTGTGAGCATGGAATCAGAACAAAGGAAATTAGTTACATTATTTGAAAGTTTATGTTTTGGTAGCCTGCTATGTCTGTCTTCATTATAGAGATTTATCTGTCAGACAAACATATCACCCTGATAGGGTACCTTTTATTCTTAATAGTGCTAAGATGAGATTCCCATTTTATAACTTTCTAAGCTTCCTTTTTCCTAGGCCTGACTACCTTTCTTCCATTCAAAACATTTTTCTTCAAATAGTGTGGCAGAAACTACTAGTTTTCCACTAATATCCATTCTCTACCTCTTTTCATGATAGAGTCCTGAATTTCAAGTAGGCAGGTCCCCCCCCTCACCCCGCCGCCCACTGTTTAAAGTCTGTTTCCTGGCCTCCCCTACAGATTGGTGCATCCCTGAGATTAAGTTATATTGGTGCTATGGAGTAGGAGTTGCATCTGATGGAGTTATGTCCAGGAGTTGCAGGTGGAGGCCAAGCAAAGTGAACAGTCATCATAAACAGAGCTGTGAGCACTGGAGCGGAGTGTACAGTCCTGAGCAGGAATGCCTGCAGGACAATACAGAAGGGACAGATGCTTAACCTTCTCTTTTCCAATATACACCAAAGGGAGGGAGGGAGGTTGGCACCAGGTTGTACATGGGTGTAAGACACAGGAATGCTAAGCCAGCTCTTCACAGAACTAGAAGCCATTCATTTCTGCCTTCAGACATGTTCCAGAAACTGAATAAAACAAATTTTGGAAAACAGATTTTTTTTTTTCTTTAACAGCAAGAAGACTTTGGAGGACTGCTCTTTCATTTCTATTTCTTTATTGTTTTTACTAGTGGTCTACAAATTGGGACACATAAAGCCCTATTTCTTGTTTCTATGATATTCATAATATAGATCACATTTAGAAATTCTGGAAATAACAAATGAAAATAAGATAAATAGGAGTTTGAGGATGTAAAAGATGAGAGAGATAGTTACTGTGTGCTGTCAAATACAGTAGTATCCAATAAGTAACATAGATACAAGTATTCAATAGCTGGTAAAATTCCTAGAAGTCTGCATATTTAACTTTTATTTCTTTGTCTGTTTTAACAAATGAGCTCAAGGATCCTGATGGAAGCACAGGTTGTTTCAAAAGAAGATCTAAGTGAGCCATCCGCTATCATGTGTCCATCAAATTAGTTCAAGGCTTTGACTTCTTCTTGTTCTTTATTTGACTCTGGAATCATTTTCCTGTTGGTAGTAACATGAGTCAGTTCTAATACACAGAACTCCATAGTTGTGAACATCAAGTGGCATGGAAACAGCTCTTGAAAGTTTCCCCAATAACGGGTTTGCTGTCTTGGATTCTGCCTAGGCATTCAATTTTGCAACCAAGTATAAACATATGGGAGAGAAGTGGTTATTCTACTGTAAAGTGTGATTTGAAGGGCAACAGAGAAGACCTCCTAACCCTAAATATGTTTTGCTCACCCAAGAGTCAAACTTTGGAGATTTCATCATTGATGACTGACATCATTGATGACATCATTGATGACTGATGAACCCATTGTTCCTTCTAATCATTCCTCTTTATAATGCAAATATTCCTGGAGTTGATAATAAACACATTGCTACTAAAATCTCACTCTGTACATACTTTCTAGTTCCTTCTTTTTGACAGAAGGGGACTTGGGTTATTTTAAGGTCTGTTGGAGAAGGGACAGTATGGGTGCATCTGTGTAGCTACCAGGGGTTTGGGCAGACAGGAAGGGATGGAAGGAGGAAGAAGAGGGCAGAATTAAAGATTTTACAATGTGTCTAAAATATTTCAAAGTTTAAAAAAGTTTATATACTAATATACAGTATAAAACACCACTTTATAAATCAGATAATGTCACACATTTTTGAACTATTTTTTTATTACAAATATTTTCCAAATTCCTACATGTAGGTAGTGTGCTAGGCACTTTGGGTGACTCAATTTCTAATGGAGCTTACAATACAGTCATAGACAAGTTAAAGATATGTGAAAAGTTAAATAACAGCTCAAGAGATACTCAAAGTAGAATAATTATAAAATATGAGCACAAAGTAGTGCTTGATCAATTGCCAAAAGATGGTAACAGTATAAGAAGCTCAGAGGAAGAAGATATCACAGTGGAATGGAATGAGATTTAAGGCTTCAGGACAGAGGAGGGAGAGAGAACTAGCAAGCTGACATACAAAAGAAATTAAGTAAGGATTCAAATCATTAAGGGAATTATCTTTTCAAGCTGTGAAATAATGTTTTACTTTTAGGTAGCTCCACATGAGTAGTAGCAGAAATGTTCTGATCAGTCCTGCAAAAATATGCACAGAAATCGAAGGCCCCCAGAGGTATCTGTTTATGCTATTCAAGGGGCAGTCTTTGTCCATTATTTGAATCAGGCAAGTGAATCTTTTGATAGAACTTTTGCTTCATCCTTAGAACTTAAATTTAATCATCTGCTAAAATAAGAGTAATTAAGTTCCTGAGCATTGTGTAAACAATATAGCTAGGTGATTGAATCATCTTTTCATTTTTTCAAAATTTTAAAAATTAGTGTAGATATATTAATTTTTCTTTAATGACATTTGATGACTTAAAGGGAGTCAGCCTCAATACCAGTGAGATAAGAACAAAAATCCTATTACTTTCTCACTGTTCTCCCTGAAGGTAGTTTGCAAATAAATACTTGTCAAATTAATGTTGAGTTAAAAACATTGGTCTTCAGTCATAATACAAAAACTGAGATTTTTTTTATTAATGATTTACTAGTGATAGTTGGTTTCCTTTAAACTCTTCTGAACCATGTGCCTGGTCCTGCTCTAACACTATTCCAAGGACAGAGCTATTAATCCATCACTTTGAGGGTAAAGCCCTTGCTACTTGAATTTAGATTTAGAACTCTAGGTATGCCGTTGGTGATATCAGCATTGACAATCTAGAAGACCTTCAGATTCGCTAAAGATGGTGGGGTTAGGTGTGGGCATGGGAGAGAGGGGCTGAGAGGGTGAGAGCAGGTGAATACAATAACCCAGGTTGAGGAAGCCAGGGAAGAGAATAGGTACAAAGTTGATTTACTTTCCTGTTTATAGCAATTTATGCTTGCATATTTTACAGGCTTTCATGTAGATGAAAGGTAACTTTATTCAAGGCAAGAAATCCCTAAATTGGTGGGAAGGTTTTTAGAAGATTTGAGTGTAGGGGGCAAAGTGAGTAAGAGAAAAGAAGTGCTTCTTTACGGGGAAAAGAGAAAAGTGAGGATATTTGCCAGAAGTATACTTACTTTGCTTTGTGTACTTTGGTCTTTGGTTTGTAAGGAAGTGAGACCAGTTCTTTCTAAACAAAACAAGAAATCAAAAAGGAACTGTTTTACTCCTTGCCCTGACTGAAGTTTAATTGAAAAAATACATGAGGTAAAATTGTCACAGAATTTATAGACTAGCATCTTCCCGCTGGGGACTGTGGAGTCAGAAATGTGCCAGATTAGGGATTTGGGGTTCGTTCAGGAGAATGTACACATTCATAAGTTTACAGGGTGCAATTATTGTTTTTTATTAAGGTTGTTTCTCTTCATTTAGCATTTGCTTTTACACGATCATGGTAAAACAAATATCAGCACTGCAGTCGCCCGTGCTGATATAGGACAGCTTTACACTGTGATAGTAAGCTCCCCGGCAGTAACCCTCTGCCGGCAGGGCTGGCGCACTCTGGAGATGTCTTTGGTTTACCAAGGATTGCCAAATTATCTGATGTCTGCACCCTGACCCCTTCTAGTATATAAATGGTTCTGGAACATGTGTATCTAGATTTAAGGGGTCAATCTCTGAGAATTTACCATAGTTCACCCCCGCCCCCACCAGACAGATTTATCCAAATGTCTCACTATCAGTCTCACCGAGATCCTTTCTTCTCTTTGTTTTCTTAAGAGTTGGAGAATCTCATCCCTCCTTTTAGCCTGTTTAAAGGGGGGGGGGGCAAGAAAGCAGGTGATTCTTTGACTCATCAGTAAAGTTTTGTGTTCACCATGGATAGAGTTTTTTCCTTTTTTCTTTTTGTATTTTGGGGTCAAATTTAAAAATATTTTTTTCCATGACAGATTTGTACTTTTCACTTGTAACACAATGCAGTTTTTATTCCAGAGAATGATGCTCTGCAAAATATTTTGATTTTGATCCAAAATAAAAGGTTTCTTATCTAATAATTAACTTTTATTGACTTTAATACATGAACTATGCTAAGAACTTCATATATATTACATCATTATTTTACTATAATAACTCATAGATTTGGCTACTGTGATCCAATTTTACAGATGAGGAATCTGCAACTTACTAAGGATAAATAGCTTACCCATGCTATTAAATGCAAAACTGGATTTGATACCAGCTGTATTTGACAATGAAGCCCAAGCTATTGACCACCACACTAATTAAATTTCCATTAAATGGTAGCAAGATATAAAATCAGCAAGCTCAAATAATATGCCACCACTCATTTCATGACAACAGCCTCATTCTAGTAGCTTGTCTATGAAAGAGTCTTGTTCTCTCATCTCTCCTGCCTTAGATATTGAGACATGCACAATCTCAGGTAAGTTCTCCTAAGTATAAAATACTAATTTAATGCAGGCATAAAGATTTATCAAGATATATACTATATAAAAAGAGGCAAATACAAGTGCCACAATTTTTTTTCATAGAATTTAGTTACATTCAGTTTGGGAGATAGCTGGGCAGAATATTTCATCGGGAGTGTTCGAGAATGAAAGAAAAACTGGAGAATCTGACAAATAAAACTTGTAGCTTCAAATGGCCAAATAAAATGAAAGAAGTTCTGTATAGATCAGGACTAGAAGAAAGAGGTTTCCAGTGCAGATGGCAGCGAAGGCATGTGGTACTTGCATCCTTCCACAACCACATCAAAAATGCAACTCAACTACAGAACAGCCATCATTTAGAACTGCCTGATATCTAGCTGAACGGAAGTTCTACAACTAAAGACGTAAAGAAGCCTCATGAGAGAACAGAATGGTCTCGTCGGACACCTAAGTGAGGTCGTTAAAAATCAGGAGGGATATATTGGCTGCCAGGATCCCCTGAGGATCAAATGTTCCCAGCCCCACACCAGGCCCCATAGCCCGAGGCTTCATTGACAGGAAGAGAATTCCCCTTAACTTTTGGCTGTGATAACCAGTGAGGATTGATGTTGAGTGAGATGGAGGTTTTCTGGAGTGTCAGGATTTCCTCTTAACAGGCCATCACATGGACTTACTTGGATTCACTCTCTCTGAGTTCTTGTACCAGGGCAGCAGCTTGAAAGGCACTAGGGACACACAGGAATGAACTGAAGTGTCTGGCATCAGGTACAGGGTTGGAGGGGCAGTTTTCTCCCAGACAGAAGTGCTGGCAGAGGCCACTGTTCCTTTTCTGAGCCCATCCTCCCACCCCCACAACAGAGCCAGCAGGCAGGTGCCAAATCTGATTCTCTATTGACCTGGCTATCACTGTTCACCCAGCCCTGGCAACTCCCTGATGTCCGGCCCCACCCCACCCAAGCTGTTTCCAGTGGCTTTTCCAAACAAATGGCCTGCCACAATTAATCCTTCAGACTTTTCTGAAGTCTCTCCAACAAGCAGCATCTGGCCCTGGCATGCCCCATACCCCTTGCTAAGTGGCTCCATGCCTGACACTGCCAGCATCCAGCCTTGGTTCACAGCTTGGTCTCTCCTGGGCACCTCCAAGCCCAGCACAAGTAGCAGCCACCTGCAGATTTCTTTGTAGCTTATGCTGGTGGCCCTGGGCAGAATGCAGGTGGTGGCTGACCTTGCCTCATGGGAGGCCCCGGAGCCAGTCCACCCAGTGGACAGCTTCAGACTATGTAGAAGCACCACATGACTACCTCCACAAATGACAAACTCAAGGGGGCAGACTCAGTGGGCACCAGAGCCCCACTGAAATAAGTCCTGCTTCATTAAGAGGGCCCTGGTGGTCCTCTGTTAACTCTGTCATCCTCCATGGTGGTCTCAGCCAGTTCTGGCAGCCAATCAGCATGCAATTAAATTCCTTCCCTTGATGTGCCAACAGCAATCAAGGCTCAACCACAAAAAGAGGGTGTTCATTGCCCACAGGGAGGGAGGTGCACCTGGAGGGCACAGCTTGGATGAATGGGAGTGCAGTGCCACTGGATCCTACAGGATACATACTACATGAAGCCACTCTGCCAAGCCTGGGAGATGTAGCAGCTCTACTTAACACATAGAAACAAACACAAGGAGGGTGCCAAAATGAGGACACATGAAAACATGTCCTAAATGAAAGAACAGAACAAAACTCAAAAAAAAGAGAACTAAACAAAATGGAGACAATCTACTAGATACAGAGTTCAAAACATTGGTTTTAAGGATGCTCAGTGAATTTAGGGGAAGAGTAGATGAACTAAGAGGAACTCCAAGCATAAAAAGGGAAATGAAAACCATAAAAATATCCAGTCAGAAATGAAGGGTACAATTACTGAAATGAAGAATAATTTACAAGGAATTAACAACAGAGTAGGTGAAGCCAAGAATCAAATCAGCAATTTGGAATATAAGGATGCAAAAAACACTCAATCAGAACAGAAAAAAAAAGCAGCCTCTGAGACAACTTCAAGCATACCAATGTTCATATCGTGGGGGTGCCAGAAGGAAAAGAGAAAGAGCAAGGAATTGAAAGCCTATTTAAAAAATAATGAGAGAAAACTCCCCTAACTTGGTGAAGGAAATAGACATGGAAGCCCAGAAAGTGCAGAAAGTTTCAAACAAGATGAACTCAAAGAGACCCACACCAACACATATCATAATTAAAATGACAAAGGTTAAAAACAAAGAGAGATTCTTAAAAGTAGCAAGAGAAAAGCAGTAAGTTGCCTACAAGGGAGTTGTAGGCAACTTGACAGTTGATTTCTCAAAAGAAACTTTGCAGGCCAGAAGGGATTGGCAAGAAATATTCAAAGTGATGAAAAGTAAGGACCTATAATCAAGATTCTCCACTTAGCAATGCTATCATTAGAATTCAAGGGCAGATAAAGAGCTTCCCAGACCAAAAAAAAAAGCGAAAATGGTTCATCACTACCAAACCAGTATTACATGAAATATTGAAGGGCCTTCTATAAGAAAAAAAAAGATCAAAGGTATGAACAATAAAATGGCAATAAATACATATGTATCAACAATTGAATATAAAAAGAAAAATGAAACAAGCAGAACAGAAACAGACTCATAAATACAGGGGACATGTTGATGGTTGCCAGTAGGGAAGAGGGTTAGTGGTTGGGTGAAGGGATTAAGAAGTACAAATTGGTAGTAACAGAATAGCCATGGTGATGTAGAGTACAGCACAGAAAATATGGTCAATAATATTCTAACAACTATGTATGGTGCCGGATGGGTATGAGATTTATTAGGATGATCACTTAGTAAGTTATATAATATCTAATCACTGGGATTTATACCTGAGACTAGTATAACATTGTATGTCAACCGTAATTGAAAAATAAAAAAAATGATTTAAAGAAGATTAGAAGCAAGAAATAACTGAGCATAGACATAGATTTGTCATCACTAGGTAAAAATTCTAAGTCGTCCATTGGTCTACTCAAATTTATTGAGCACTGAACTATTTTCCCAGGGTTTTTGTAACAAAGTGTCAAACTGGGTGGCTTAAAACAACCTATTTATTGTCTCACAGTTCTGAAAGCTGGATGTCCAAAATCAAGGTGTCAGCAGGGCCACGTCCCCTCTAAAACCTGTGGGGGAATCCTTCCTTAGCTCTTCCTGGCGTCTGGTGGTTTGCTGGCAGTCTGTGGCATGCCTTGCCTTGCAGCTGTGTAACTCCAATCTCTGCCTTCATTGTCACATTGCTTCCTTCCTGTGTGATTCTGTCTTCACATGGCCATCTTATTCGCACACCAGTCATATTGGACTAGGGGCCCACCCTATTCCAGTATTAACTTCTTAACTCATTTTATCTTCAATGACTCCGTTTCCAAATAAGGTCACATTTTGAGGTACTAGGGGTTAGTACTTCAACACAGCTTTTTTTGAGGAACCCATTTCAATCCATAATGAGCACCTACGACGTCACATTACTGTGTAAGAGCTGCACAAAACACAATTCCTACCTGCAAAGAGATTGCAGACTTGTGGAGAAAAAAATAAATAGTTCCAATGTGCTATGTTGGTGTTAGTATAGAGTGCAGTTAGGGAACTGAAGAGGGATCCTTAATTTCAGGCTGTCAGGGGAACTCGGAGAAGATGTCCCAGAGGAGGTAATGTCCAAGCTTGGACCTGAAAGTGGTGATCACCAGATAATAGAGACATGATAGAAAAGAAAGAGCTCTTGAGACACAGGAAATGGTGTGCAAAGCCCCAGAATCTGCTGCATTGCTAAGTGATTCCTCAAGATGAATCTTCAGTCCTGATCCTGGCAAGGGAAGCTTCAACCCTCAGGCAGGCTCTGAGACGAAGGAGAGGAGGAGCCAGTGCAAGGGCAGGAGTAATCAGCAGCCAGACCTGGAATACTGGTGCTTTGGCTTTTCATTGTACTGCTCAAGTAGTCTTAATCTGATCTTTTATGAGCCTACAAAGTTTTTATTTTATTTATTTGGGGACAAGATTTCTACTTTTTATTTGAATATTAGGCATCATATATCATAGTTATTGAAAGAAAAGAAGTTCAAGGTATTTTTAAAACTAAGCTAAATTTCATAATATCTGTCAGCTTGCTATGGACTGAATAAAATAATGTCTGTAGATAAAGACCTAGGTTATTTTCAATGTAGGTATTAAATGTTAGTTTCATTTCCAATTTTTCCATTGCATATGTACTTAATTAGAATCGATTGCTCCCATACAGTGATTACATAGCACTTTATATCTGTATTATGGTATTGATCTTGCTTTCCCTGCTTTATCTCACA